CAATGAACCAGCACTGTGGCAGGATGGTATCCATGAGTATGGATCCTTGATCCTGGTAAAACCATCTGGAGAGGCCGTCCGCTTTGGTGCTTCTCCCCCCCGGCCGGTTGGTCACCGTGAATCTGAATCATGTGCAAAAATAGCCAGTTGAGGGTTCAGCCTTTTAGTGTTTCTCACATACTCCAAATTCTTGTGATCTTTAGAGCCTGGGATGTATGTTTGGCTCCCTCCAGCCAGTGTCTCCTTTTTCCTGGTTACCTGAATCATAATTACACTCAGCTTTAGAAAATTTGAGATTAAACTGCTCAGTGATGCAGTTTAGACAGTGTGCCACCGCAATGGGATAGCGCATCTCCGATGCTTATATCGGATGTGTCTACCTCCACAACAAGTAGTCAATCGGGGATTAGCTGACAGAAAATGGGTGCCTGGAAGAATGCCTGCTTCAGTCATTACAAGGTGACTTGTGCTTCGAAGATTCCAGCTTATTATCTGATGCGGTATGCAGGTTACGGTGGTGAGGCGTGTGGGAAAGGAGCTAAAATTACAGATGAACCACACGCAAAAATTAGCGAATCCAAGGAACTGCTGCACCTCTTTTTTGATTGTGGTTCTGGTTAGTTGGACACGGCAGCAGTCTTGGCCGGAGCCATATGCACAGTCCCTGGAAAGAGGATGTGACCCAAAAATGGTTAAGCTCTGGGCATGAGATTCGCAAACAGCAATACTTTGCAGAGACACTGTAGTACCTAAAAGACATTTACATGGTCAATAAAAGACAAGGAGTAAATCAAAAAGGTCGTCAATAATACACAATGAAACACTGGTCAATGAGATCCTGAAAGATATTGTTCATGAATGATTGGAACAGAGAGACAGTGTTAGTGAGTCTGAAAGGCATAACCAAATACTCATAATGGCCGTGGGTGGTTATGAACACAGTTTAAAGCCCATCTCCCTCTTGGATATAGAACAGGTCATAAAAAAACTGAACTAAACGAACCCATTTCAAAGCAGCTGGGATCAGGGGAAGAGGGAAACTGAACTTAGTAGTTACCTCATCCAGGGCATGGTAGCCAATACATGATCTCAAAGTCCTGGAGCCTCGCACAGAATCACAAACAAGTAGAATCAGGCAGTCAGAGAAAAGTAGGGAGCAAGAAGAACGCTTGTGATTGTGCACTGGGACAACAATACCTTGCACTGAGGACAATTAGGCAACACCAAAACCAGTGAAGAAGCAGAATCCAGTTTTACACTGGACTCACAATCCAGTACATCATGTGCAATAATTCATATTCAGAGTGTTATTATGGTCAATAATCCAGAGCAGTATGTGCAATAATCCAGGGTATCATGGACAATAACCCCGAATGTCTTGTGCAATAACCCTGAACATCATGTGCAATAACCCAGAATGTCATATCTAATGATCCAGAGTGTAATGTGCATTAATAATCCAGAGAATCTATCTATCTATCTATCTATCTATCTATCTATCTATCTATCTATCTATCTATCTATCTATCTATCTATTTTCCTACACTAGAAGTTAAAGACTGCTTCAGGAACTTGGTTCCTGGTTCTGAGCCAGTACTTTTATTGTTCCTGGTCACTTTCGTGTACCAGTTTTCCACCACACGACAGGAAATGTGACCTTGAGGCTAAATAAGCATGGGAGATGCAAAAAATGTATAGGTTAGAATTCACACTTCATAGGTAAAGAAATGACACGGCCTCTACAATGGAGAATAAAGAAGTTAATTTCTTAGTTATTGTTAGTTATTTGATAGTTATTTGGGGGGGGGGGGGGGGGTGGTGGAAAGAAGGTTGATTGTGAAAACCAAAAATACCTGATTGTGAAAACCAAAAATACCTGGTTCCAAGAACCTGGGAAAAATCATGTGGGCGCCCAGGATATTGCGAGATGGAACAACTAATCCCCCAGCGCTCTATCGAAACATGCTACTTATCAAATATGCATGCAAGTGGTTCTGTGCCTGTGCATGACACAATCGCAGGTTTATCTCAGCTTATTTTTCCACACTTGTGAATCTATGCTGCATTTGCATGGAAGCTTTGGCTGGTGGTAAGTAATATCATTAAAAAATATATTTCCATTGATAAGTAAATACCCAGTGGTTTTGCTGTTCAATGAAGGTAGCCGATAATGGCGTGCTGCATGTTTTTGAATCTTATTTTAAATGCTAAGAAGCATCCAGCACAGGCATGGACTGGCCATCAGGAAGTTCAGGAAGTTTGGGTCTGGTCTTCCCCAATGCCAGCATCCTCTGGCTGCTCCATGTTACCTGTCTGCCCTTGGTCCAACATGATGGTTATATTGTTGGGTGACGTGCATTTTTATTTCAGCCTCGTTTACCTCAGCTAGCACTAATCTACAACACATCAACTCATTCATCCAGTGCATTCACTCCGTTTTATCTGGTTCACGCTCGGGAGGTGAGGGTCCGTACTGATAGATTTCTGGTACACCAGTCCTGATGTCACTCCCCAGCAGTTTACGCATCACCACTTCATCACTGGTTAAGCCTGACTTACCGTGCAGCAACAGCATTTAGAGCCAAAATTCCAGCCTCAACGGTAACATTACAAGTGACATTTGTGGTACACACCTGTTTCAGCAACATGGGATGGCAGAAAGACAATACACAAAGCAGCTCTCCAGAAGAGGGGTTTTACTAGTCAGGTCAGACAAGACGAGAGAGTAAAACAAAACAAATGAGAGCACGAGGGGGCTAAAGAAGTGATGGTCCTTTCAATACCGACGTATCGAAGTCTGTGTTGGGTGCAGAGGACGACGCCCGTCAAACACCCGTAATGATGCGCTTATTGTTTCAAGGAGTGTGACGCGACCAATTCAACTGAGATGACAATCTGAAGTGAAGCTTCCAGGTGCCTTCCTGCGTCGCTGCTGAGTTGAGAGAGTTTCACTAGTCGTTGCATTTCAGTATTGTGCAGCGTGCAGTAAATATTTGTCACCATACCCAGATTTTTTGCATTGCTTTATTATCCTGCATTCTTAGTGTTTTCATTTTAACATGTATAACATTTCATTTGAGGGGTCCTTAAATTATGGTACGCTTATCAGTGTATTTAAGTGTCGGACATAATGGTGTTTCTGAATAAAAATCATAAATCAAACAAGCATGTTTATTTCCCCAAGAATCACCACACAAACATTCTCCTTGCTAGTAGCTCAACTAGTTGAATATTATGCTAATGATGCAAATCTCAAGGGCTCCAATCCCAGAGAGCTTGACCAAATTATAAGCTCTCTTGTTAGAGCAAGTTGATCTAGATAAAAGTGCAAGCTAAATCAGAAAAAAAACACACCACAGACAAACTTATTTCAAATACTTCCCACATAGTGTCACAAATGAAAATTTGTAAAGCATACATTGCACATAGACACAATGACATTGTTAGCTTAGTTTTGTTTAACGTTGAAAGTCTTAGTAACTTACATTTGTAATAGTGTTTGCAAAATCTTATTGTAATCCAATGTGGTGTTGGTGCCCCTCAGCCAGACTGCATGCTATAACGTCTTCCATCCACCAGATGTCGCTGTTAAATGTATCGAAACAACAACACTATTCCTGACACATTGAAAGCAACACACGCAGGTAGAAAATAACCAAAATCATGGAGTAACACAGGGACCAGCACAGCAGCACATCCATCTAACCAGAGCAAACATTTTCTCCATTATGTCACTGACTATGGCACCAGGGAAGCAGAATTTATTAAAAAGATTGCTTACTCACATCCCTGAGCATTGAGTCCCTGATGAGAAGGGTTCTCTGTGTGATTGTATCCATGGGGTGACACCTGCTACTGAGCTCGAGCGGTGGTTGTAAATCAGGCAAACTCCCAGGCTGCATGTTGCTTTTCCCTCCAGCTTTGTCACTCCAGTGATAGATGCTGAGATCGTTTTTGGCTTAGTGCCTGGCTAACCCTAACCCTAACCCTAACCCCAGTGCACTGCAGCCTACATCTCTGCATTTGTGCTCTCTCCATTCCAGGGCACGGTAGCTTTCGAGTCAGCCACCTCTGTGGCCTTTACACACACATGAACTTTAATGACATTCAATTGTTAATACATGGGCTTTAATATGGAGTTGGTCACCCTTTGCAGCTATAACAGCTTCAACTCTTCTGGGACGGCTGTCCACAAGGTTTAGGGGTGTGTTTATGGGAAATTTTGGCCATTCATCCAGGAGAGCTTTTGTAAGGTCACAGTCTCCACTCTAGTCGTATTGTTTGAACTGGTTTTTGCTTCCTTCACCGCAAATAGCAGTTTGTATGAGGCAGTTTTGAATTTGGACATGCAGCCACGTTAGACACCGTAGTGTGTGTATTCAGCGTGTCACAAATTGCATTGTAAAACCACAGCTTTTTGTTAGGAAAGATCTTGATGTTAACTTTAGGCATGATCTCCTCCCCCAGCTTGACAGCAAACCTAATAACTATGTCTGCAAATGCACTAATGTTGTCATTACTGTGCAAGAACCTGAGTTTCTTAGTTTGAGCTCTTGCGCATTTCTCACCTGCCAAACTGGCGTCTTTAATCGAAGTTTACTTTTTGTGTTTAGTTTAGTATTGATCCCATTCTTGAACCCCTCCCATTAAATCCAAAGAATGAACCTTCCACTCCCCACCCCTGGAAACCTCATAATTCCCAGCTCAGCCTCAGCGTTACATGCTTCGGCAGGCTGTAGCGACTTACTGTCTTGATGCTTTCTCAGAGTGCTTTCTTAAACCATTTTCTTGTTAATAATAGAAATGTAAACATTTATATATGCATTTATTTTAAAAATGGATTTTTATTGTGGCTGGGTACACTATAACAGTATCACAATATGTCATTTTAGATAATCAACAAAGCAGTGCTAGAAAGGTGAATGAAATATAAACGCTTCATACAAGCATTCAAAAAAAAAAAACCTTTAAGGATATATGCAAACATTTCAAATAGGAGATTATAGGTTATATGTTACATTATATGTTAATATAATGGGGTTTTTTTTGTAAAACTTAAGGCCATGTTTTTTATAATTTATAAACACATTCGTAACAAATAATAATAATGCATTAACAGAGCATTATAAACATGGCTATAAATATTCAACAATAGGCATAACACATTATAGCCATGTATTATGCATTATGAATGCTTTATGAAGCTATCATCTATAATGCACTACAGATAGCATTATAGTGCAGTATACTGGTTGGTATGAGTGTTAAGGGTATCTATAGTGCCCTATAGATGAGAGCTTCATAAGGCAGTTATACAGCATAATAAACAGGGCTGTAATGTGTTATGCCTGTTTATAACTTGCTAAAAATATGGCCTTAGGTGTTACCGTTTTTTTTTTTTCTTTGAGCATTTTATTTAATATTTCTCATTCATTATTTCATTTATCCAGGCGATGAAAGAGGAAACTTTCGTGTAAATGCTGGGATATGACAGATTGCAATTGGGGGCTGTTAATGCTGCAATTCCATAGGCCGTGTCCTTGCAAACAAGGGGTCCACCAGAGTCACCCTGGGAAAAAAGAATGGAGAATGACCACCATCGTTTGATCCGAACAACCAAACATTCTACAGCTCCGCCTTATGATTCATAATCAAAGTGCACTTGCCTGACAGATCCCCTTCTTACTATCAAAGGTGCACAGCATTCGTTTGGGCTGGTAGTACTTCTGCCACCACTTCTTGCACTCTTTATCAGTCTTGATGGAAACGGAGACTTCTCGAAGGATCTTCTCCGCTACCCCACCAGGTTTTCTCCTTCCCCACCCAGGAATCAGACACTGGGTATGACTTGAGATGTTTTCCCCCTCTGATGGTAGGTTTATGTTCTTCACTCTCTCATCTAAACTGGCATTCTTCCTGAGCTGTTATGCAAACAATTGGATTGAGTTAGAAAAAATGAGGAATGTAACACCAGTGAATATTAATGTTAAAAGTATTGCATTTGAGATTTACTTTTTTCAGGAGATTCT